TTCAAGTAAACAGTTGACCTAGCTGTAGCTCTAAAAAACAGGAAACAAATTGCCTGAGGATATAAGGGATGTGTTATATCTTAGGTCATATTTTATCTAATTTTATTTGAGATAGGGTTGATGTGTAGCCCAGGATGGCCTTGAATTCTTGTTCCTCCTGCTTCAGCCTCCTGAGTGTTGGGTTAAATAATATTTCAGGGAAAAAAATGAATCAAGATAAGGAACACTTACCCCTTAGAATAATCAATGGACCCTAAATATTTCAGGATTGTGTTTCTAGTGGCCTCAGAATGAACTTCGGTGGGTGTTTGCTATGGCATTTTTCTACCCAGGTATTAAAATTTGTAGCTATTTTTTAAAATCATTCTAATAAATCATGGCAAACTTCCATTTAGTATCTTACAGTGTTGTAGGTCAGGATCTGAAGTGGCTTGACCAGGTCCTCTGCTGGGCAAATCCTGAGGTCAGAATCAAGGTGGTGCTCAGGTGGGCACTTTGAGGAGGCTCTGGAAGAATCTGCTTCCTTATTCTCTTCTTTCAGGTGGCCAACTGAATCCTGTCCAGGGATAGCTGCGTCTTTCTCCCACGGCCCAACTGTCATGCCGCAGTGTTTTTATACTTGGCACTGTGTTAATTACCTTTCTGGTCGCTGTGACAAAAGCGTTTACAGGAGGAAGGCTTTGTTGATGTTCACAGTCTGAGGGTGCAGTCCTCATGGCAGGGGAGGCATTGTGGCAGGAATGGGAGGCAGCTGGTCACATGGCATCCAGAGCCAGGAAACAGGGGAATGCTGATACTCAACTCGATTTCTCCTTTTGAAAAGTACTTTTAACTATTTACTTATTTATTTGTATACATGTGTGCTCCTCATGAACTTGTGTGCATGGCATCGCATGCATGGGGAGCTTAGAGGACAGCTAATGGGCATCGATTCCCTCTACTGTGTGGGCTCCAAGAATTGAACACAGGCCAGCCAGGCTTAGTGGGAAATACCCAATGAACCCTCTCACCAGCCTGCTTTATCCTTTTTATACAGTCCAGGACCCCAGACCATAGGATAGTACCATTTCTATTCAGGGTGGGTCTTCCCTCAGACCTTTCTGGAAACATCCTAGAGTTGCTTTTCCATAGTGATTATAAATCCAGTTGAGTTGATAATGATTATCCATCACAGTGTGTATCAGACTTTCTCTGTTGCTCCTAGCCAGAGCGTCATCTCTGCTTTCTGTGGGCTCATGTGTTTAGATTTGGCATTTTAGATAAACTTTCTTAATCAGCTCAGAGCCTGTTGATTAGTAATGGTGATTGCATCTGTAGAACCTCCTTTGCTAGATAATTTAACTTTATCAGAGTATGATGTATATATAGTCTTGGGGATTAGGCCAAAAAGTGATTTTTTTCTTTTGGGGGTGGGGAGCAGTGCCGGGAATGGAACCCTGTGCTTTTCACAAGGCAAGCGTTCTTGTGCTGACATATAGCCCTTTGGTAAGAAAATTTGGGGGCCATTCTTCCAAGTGTGTGCCTTATGTATTGCAGGTTTATCTTATTTAGTTCAGTAGCCCCTTTAAAGTCTGTGGCAGATACTTTCAACATCTGTGCCATCTTGGCCTTAGTGTCTCTTATATTTTTCCCATGTTGTTGAGATTTTCTCTTTTTGTATGCTGAATAATTTTGGATGTATCCTGGGCATTGGGAATATTATGTTAGAAGCCTCATGTTTAAAGCCTTTGGAAAATGCAGCAGTCCAGTTGGATTTGAGTTACAAGTTGCAGTGTTGTTTCAGTATCAGCCCCATGTCTAGAATGCCTTTACCTGGTGTTTCCTATGCTAGTGGAGCTGCCCTATGTACCAGGGGTCCATGGGAGGTCCAGGGAATAATGCTGTGTATGATGAGGTCCACACACCCAACTTGAGGTGAGGCTGGAAATTTACAGATAGTTCTGTGGGGTCACTTTCCTCAACAGTTGACTCTCCATGATGCCTGTGATGCTCTGTTGTTCACCTAGAGCTCCCCTTTTTAGTCCCCATCTAGAACGCTGAGGCTTGATGTGGCCTAAAGTATTACTGTGGCTGCTGCTTAACTCTGCCTATAGCTATTGAGAGCTTCAAGATGGGGAAGCATCCCCTTCTGCAGCCTGGGGCTCTACTATCACCGTGGCTGCCAGCAGACCCCCCCCCCCCTTTAAGACTAAGCTAGAGCCTTCCATGTAGTACGAGTCCAGGTCTGTGGAAGCGAGTCGTTTGGCATGCCCTGTTCTCATTTCCTCAGCTGGTTACCTGTCCTCAATCTCAAGTAGCTGCTCCACGCATTATGTTCAGAATTTATAGTTGGGTTCAATGGAGGTGAGAGTATGTGTACTGTGACATCCTGTGTGCACCACATTGTAGTTTGCCCTGGTGTTTTATGCTGACATGTCTATGTGCATGAACAATGTGTGCTGTAATGTGATGTGTAGTTTTCTTTATGATAGTGTTAAAACTTGACTATGAATCTGATTTGTTTCTTTGGGGTCTCAAAAATTGCAGAAGTCTTAACATTTGGACTTAACATTCTCAGCCTCTGGGAGCATTTAGGATATTTTTTTTCTCTACATATATGCTGCTACAGTGAACACTTGGTAAATATCCGTGTGGACCTATGTGTGAGTTCCTCTAGGAGTTTCCCCAGAAGTGGGCTTTTTGAGAAGTGGCACCCATACAGCTCTGTAAGATGCTGCCAGTGTACTGTTTCCTGCATCCTTGTCAGCGTTTTGTTATTTATTCCTATAGAGAATATATGCACCATCGGTCAATTGGGCAGTCCGTCATCTGCCCGCTTCCCTCCCTTGATTTGGATTGCCAGTGAGGTGGGCATTTTTTTCTTCATGCTTGTCCCATCTCTGTGAATTACCTGTCTGTACCCCTTATCCATTTCCTGCTAAGGTGTTTCCATAGTGATGTGCTGATGTCTGTGTGGGTTCTGAATGCTGACCCACTGCCTCCTTTTCTTCTGTGACCTCTATAAGGTCAGTGTTTATGGGCCAGCTAATCCTCTTCAGCTTCCCAGTAAGCTTTGAGTGAAGGCTGGTTCTCGGGCAGCCTCTCTGCCTCCCTTCCTTGGCATCTGTGCTTGTGGATCTCAGTAAGCACTTGGTGCTGGCAGTAATGGTGAAGGGGCTGTCTGCAGAGCTGCCTGCAGAGCCATCACATTGGCTTCCTTTCCCAGCAGCTCTCCAGGTTTGTATACAGTCAGCTTCTAATCCCATGTGGGATATTGGCATGTTCCAGCCTCAGGTGGCTTCCTCACGTGGCTGGCAGTCTTCCATGCAAGCTGCTTGCCTTCTCTCTGCGGTTTTTAGGCTCTCCCCTGTTGAAGTCGATTTGCTTTTGACAGCAGCCTAAGTCCTCTTGAATAGGGCCTTTGTTGTGCTGTGCTGAGCTTTTTTTTTTGTCTGTGACTCACTTCTCCCCTGGGGCTTTTGCTCTTATCACTTAACCATCAAAAGCTACTCACTTTCAGAGTTGATGCCTCAGGCCCAGAGATGGGTTCAGTTTTCTCCCAGCTGCTGGTTTTTACAGGTAAAACCTTCTAAAAGAATCTTGAGTTGAAGAGAGAGTTCAGTGGTTATGTGGTAGTTTGAATGAAATTGGCCCTATATGGTTGACTATGTAACCCCAGTTAGTAGAACTGTTCAGCCAGGATTAGGAAGTGTGGCCTTATTGGTTGAGATGTGTCACTAGGGGTGGACTTTGAGGTTTCAAAAGCCCACAGCATTCTCAAGTAGCTTTCTCTTTGCCTCATACTTGTGGATCACATCACATCTTTGCCATTCACTTTTACTGTAGACCTAAATAAGAGCAGCGGCCAGAAATCATGTCACAACCTGAATGCTGTTCTGCCTTCACATTCCCTCCACCAAACAATTCCATTGCTTTCAAATCCAGCCTTTCTTAAGTTCTCATTATAAGGGCAGACTGCAGATAGATTCTTTGCCAAAATGTAATGGATGGCTTTTTTTTTTGGGGGGGGGGGGATATGAACAAATGCCTACTCAGCCCAGATAGGGTACTGACAACAGACCAAATTAACAGTTATATCTAAGTCTAGCCTTGAGTGAACCAAATTTTATTGGGATTACTTACTGAAACATGGATGACTCAAAGGCATCTCCATCACTGAATTTCTGACCCCAGAAGGAATGATGACTCACAAAAACTATTTTCCTTCAGTTCCTTGCATAACTTGTAGGCAGCTTGGCTCATCCTCCAGCGGTTGTTGTATAACCTGGGAAAAGGCTTTCCTAAGTTTCAGGAACTTCCCAAGGACTATAAGTTTGCTTAATTCCTAATTTTTTCTCCTTTGCTGTCATGTGATACTGGTATTTCCATTTGATTCTTGATGAAAGCAGGCAACCAAAACTGTCTTAGACATGTAAAATTCTCCCTCCTGCCCTTGTCTGGCCTGCATGTGTGTGTGTTCTGGAACCCCTCTCAGTCACAATTGTAAATGTTACTTAGGCTCCATACAGAGCAAGGGGATTCCCTTTACTGGGCTTGCAGCCCAGCTGGTACCTGGGGTGGGGCCTTCAGCTGAGAACCAAGTGGTCCCTTAGGAACTAGTCCTTCCCTGGAACCCTATTCTATGACACCTGTCAGGGATCTCTTCCCTACAGGTGAGGAGCACTTTAAACTCAGCTGTTAGCTGCCCCTTTCCATGACATCCCTAATGACCTTCTTTCCTTTAAGCCCCATCCTCTAGAAGTTCCACTACCTCCCAGTACTGCGCCAGGCTGGCATCCAGGCTTTTACCACATGGCCTTTGGGCAGCACTGAAGGTCCAAACCATAACAACTGTCTTTCCGGAAAACTGATATTCAAAGCATTGAGTGTGGATTTGTAACCAGCAGGGCTGGTGTTGTCTGCTCTCTTTGTGTTGCACAGTGGATGAGCCTTCGCATACAGATAGTATGTTAGGACCCATCAGGTGTAAATCACAGTTTTAGGTTCTTACTTGGCAGGGGTGGGGGACACCAAATCTAAATAAGTATGTTAATTACCAGAGCTGAGGCTGCTTAGTGGTAGTGCATCTGGCTGCTAAGTATGCGCAAGGTCTTGGGACTGGGTCCCAGTGCAGTAGAAAATGTACTTCATTGCTATGCTCCTTTTTGAAAATGAGTAGAACTCTGTTAGTTTCTGTCATAAACCATCTGACAGGACTAGGTGTGGAGGGTAGTGGCAGAGTCTTACCCAGTGTGTAAGCGCTGGGTCCTGTCTCCAGCACCCAGCAAGATTAAACATCTTAACCAGTTCTCTCTCACAGTACATGCCATCTTTGAGGAGAAACTTGTTTTTATGCCTTAGACTTGGTCCATGGTGCTGATTTGTCTTTTGGGTTCAGCTGGCTGAGGATGAGTGAGTCTGTCTGTTTCTGGTATCCCAGCCGTTCCTTTCTTCTTTCTGTCTTTGGCTGCCTCGTTTCGAGTATGGGATGTTTATTGTTGCTTCTTGCTCATGGAACAGGTCTTGTTCTAGAGTGAGGAAGGTGGTTTGTTGCATCACTCTTCTGGTGATGCACTTGCAGGTCAGGCTGAGAAGAGCAGGGGAGTGCTTTCTGCCCTGTTGCAGGCCTTGTCCCCTGAAACAGACAGCTTCCATTTCATTAAGCAGAATTGCTTGGGTGGCTCTCCAAGCCCTTCCCCTCCAATTGAAAACATTTTTTTCTCTTTCAAACCTTAAGGTGAATCTTAGACCATAGCTAAGCACTTTTAAGACCACAGAGTTAACAATAAACAGGTCTTGCAACACATTTGCTTTTTGTTTTGCCTTCATTCCTTTTGTTCTTAATGTCAGCTGGGTTTATAATAGGGTCAGGGGAGCAGATACTGGGCCACTTGACAATTAGAAACTTGATACATCATTCATAAATTTTTGGAATGGAAATGTCATATAGAGAAAGCACTTTGCACAAGAAACAAGAGTTTCCTAGGTGGTAACTCCTTCATGACTTGAGGTCTCTGGTTTCCCAGACCTGTACCCTGGCAATGACACCGGGCTCAGGTGACACCACATCTGTCAAAATTGCATTGGTTCCATTTTAGCATCTTAAGGACAACTGATCTGAGAAAAATGAAAATTACAAGGCATTTGCTGATCTATGAGTAATTTTTGCCACTTTCAAGCTATATGACAGTCAGTGATGAATCAGCAGGACACATTTGCCAGGGTTTTCCTGAACCATAGTCATCCTCATATAGTAGCTTTGCTTTTTGAGGTCTCAAGAAGATTGGCTGGTCTGTTTTCATGCTCCTTTCTGTAAAAGTGTTTGAGAGATGTTTTGAGCTTGGTGGGTCACAGTGTGGCTCTTGCTGTTACTCAGGCCTGTGTTTGTGACCTTTATAAAAGCAGCAATTGGTAACAATAGTTTAAGATGGAAGGCTTGTGATTGTGTGTTTGTACACACACACACCTGAAGTACAGACTTTCCCCTTCTTGAGATACTGAGGGGAGACTCCAGGAAAGCTGGTCTCTGGGCTGACTTCTCCAGGAGCACTGCATTTGAGCAGCCCAAAAGCCTGCCACATAGTTTATTAGTGGGCAACTTTGTAGTACTTGTGATACTGCTAATGAAACTCAGATGGCCTGCAGCCTGTTGGGAGTGGGAGGACTGAGAATCCCTGCTGTGCTGGTAGCTTTATGTCAACTTGATACTAGCTAGAGTGGTCTGGGAAGACAGAACTTCAGTTGAAAAAATGCCACCACCAGGTTGATTGTGGGCAAGGCTGTGGTGCATTATTTTGATCGGCGATTGATGTGGGAGAGCCCTTTTCTCTATGGGCAGTGCCTCTGCCAAGCTGATGATCCTGGATACTACAAGAAGGCAAGCTGATCAAGCCAGAGGAGAAAGTCAGCAGGGAGAACTCTCAGTGGCCTCTGCATCAGTTCTTGCCTGCAGGTTCCTGCCTTGTTTGAGTTCCTGCCCTCACCTCCAACAGAGTATGACCTGAGAGTTGTAAACCATTTACTCCTCAAGTTTTTTTGGCTATGATGTTTTATGACACCAATAGAAAACTGAACTAAGACACTGCTCTGGAAAGTGCTGGTGTCTTTTGTCTCTCTGACTCCTGGTATTGCTGTTGCTTTGAAAATTATCCAGGGACATATGGGAAGAAGGGAGACCTTGTCTGTGTGTATTGTGCCCTGTTGAAGTTCTCAATTACTGGTGTGACTCTCTCTCTGTATCCATGTGCTAGTCTGTGATATGGTAAAGACAAGCCAAGAGCCTGCCTTTCTCAGACTAAAGTCCTGGGGAAGCCCGGCATTCCATCAGAAAAGTGTAGTAGGTGTTGTGTTGTCTGTGGTGTGTGTGCACGTGCCATCGTTTTCTTCATCTCCTTAAATAGACTGCATCAGCGTTCCTGATTTCTTCTTGCTCCAGGCTGCAGTACATCCTGGCATGGTGCTGTTGCCCATTTCACCTTTATTTATAAACTTGTAGCCCTCCTAGAATTTTTATATTAATTATTATAATAAAAAATATGGCCATAGAGCATTGGGGGGGGGTTGCTCACAGATCCTCTTAAGAGAGTGTTCTTTCATTGTGTCCAGAATTCATAGTACTACAAATGAGAGGGCTGTTGCCATGTAACCTGGACTACCATTACTGCTGCTCATAAAGTTTCGACTTCCCCCAAAACTGGATGTCTTTTACTAGCTTTACTTTAAAATTTTTATGCCATGTATTCATTATTGTTCTATTCTAACTGTTGCCTGATTTTACTCCTAGTAAGTTATTTAGCTTATTTTTATAGAGACATTCTTTGTAGCTGGGAGGGGAAAATTACTTTTTAAACTGTATGTGTGGGTATGTATACTTGAGTGAGGGTGTTGTCAGATCCCCTGGAGTTCCACATGGTTCTGAGTGGCCTGAAGTGGTGCTGGGGACTGCTCTTTCTCTAGAAGAGCAGCAAGTGCTCTTAACTGCTAAGTGATCACTCCAGCCCAGAGACATTATTTTAATTTTTCAAATATTATTTGGAGTTTTAAAACTCACTTGAAAAAATAATTTTTACACCAGTCCAAAACAGGAGGATAAGAGCCCTGGCTATGTATTCAGATTCTGTTTCAAAGCAATTAAAAAAAATTTTAAACTTAATTGCATAGTGAATCAGAGAATCAGTGTAATGTACCAGGTACTGTGAGAGCCTGCTGCTGTGCACTGGCTGCTTTGTGGTTCTGTCGATATACTTTAATATGGTATGTATTTAAGACCTGTGGTGACATTTAATGTGTGGGTGCCACAGTATGCATGTGACGGTCAGAGGTCAGAGGACATTTGTGGGAGTCTGTTCTCTCCTTCCACAGTGTTGGGTCCCTGGGATTAAACTCAGGTCATTAGAGTTGGAAGTAAGTGCCTTTACCTGTTGAGCCATTGTACTTTTTTTTTTTTTTTTTAAGTTTTTTGAGACAGGGTTTCTCTGTGTAGTCTTGGCTGTCCTGGATCTCGCTCTATAGACCAGGTTGGCCTTGAACTCACAGAGATCCGCCTGCTGCTGCCGCCACCACCGCCACCACCACCAGCTTGCCATTGCACATTTTTGAGGAGCCAGTCGAGATGCATGCCAGGTTAGAATGATGGCTTCCTGAGGAACTGGGTGTTTGGCATTGCAGTCACCCTCCTTGTCTGGAAAGTGCTCTGTATTTAGCTTATTAATTTTGCTGCCTCAATCTTTCTTTCTGTTAGTGTTTGCTTGGTGTATCTTCTGCTATTCCTTTACTTCCACCCTTTGTATGAACTTTTGTTTTAGGTGTGTTACATGGTTATGTGGTGATGTAATCCAGTCCAATAATCTGCCTTTTGGCAAAATAATCCTGCCTGCTAACATTTTCAACTATTGAAATCCTTGGCTTTATGTCTTGTTTTTGTTAGGATTATTTGAGTTTTTCCCTCAATGTCTCCATCTCCTTGTTTTCTTTTCTTGTTCCTTCACTCTACTTCTGATGCCTTTCTTTTTCTGAGTTTATTTTATTTTTCTCCCTAGGGTGTTAAAAGTTGACCTCTGCTTCTCTGCCTCAGTGATTAGCTCCCATTAAAGTGTGCTTGGATATGTTTGGCGCAGACTTGAAAGTAATGAAAGCCTTTCTCTTCTGACAATAGAAGGACCTCAAAAAGACTCAGTTCTTACATCCTTGTCCACGTGTGTTTGTAGACTGTGTCCTCCTTTGTTGGAAGAAGGCTAGTCTCAGCATTAGACATTATTCCTACTGTCTTTACCACCAGTGTTTTCTTCCCTGTTTGTATCTCTGGACCATGATGCCCTTTCCCATTTCTCTTTGTAGCTCAGAACATTTTTTTGAGGTCATTTTCTTTTTTCTGAAGTTCGTCCTTCAAAGTTTTGTAGTTCAGGTTTGTTTTGGGGAAAAATCTCTTGCGATTTCTTTTGTATTTGCTGAAAATATTTTTGGTGAGCTTTTAATTCTGGGGTTACAGTGGTTCCTCTGTTCCCTTGAAAGCACACATTGCCTTACCTCTGATATCCATTTAAAAAAAAAAACTTGTGTGTAGTGTGTGTGTGTGTGTGTGTGTGTGTGTGTGTGTGTGTGCGCGCGCGCGCGCGCGCGCAGTGCATGTGTATGCAAGTTGCAAGTTCCAGTGTGTGGATGTAGGCAAGCATACTACAGTGTACATGTAGAGGCTTAAGTGTCATTTTTCATCTTCCACCTTGTTTGAGACAAGGTGTCTTTTTTTCTTTCTGATGTGTGTGGGGCTGGCCCATGGTTTTAGAGATTCTTTGTACAAATGCTGGGATTACTGATGTACTGTTGCATGAAAGATCTTTCTTGAGAGGTACAATACATACATCTACTCACTCCAGATAGGAAGTCCACAGTGGACCAAAGTGCAGATGCCATCAAAGTCCAACTCAGTGAACCAGTGAGTTTTATTGAGGTCACTTACAGGAATATGGGTTACTTATAGGAGCAGAAATGACCCAAAGACATTTGTGTCACCAAAGGCCACTCCACCACGGTGACAGCTCACCAGACTGGAAACCTGAAGCATACTGCACAGCCTGCAGGTGCTCAACAGGATGGGGAGTATTGTTTGCAGGTTGTTCAGTTGGGCTGAGCCCCTTCTAGGCAGTTCAGCCGGTCTTTATTTCTTCTAGATAGTACAGCTAGTTCTTGCTTCTTCCAAGTGGCTGGGCTGGTTTCAGAGTTGTCTTTGCAGCTTGGCTTTCTGCGAGTGACTCTCAGCATTCTTAATGTTTATATACTCTTGGGCAAAAAGGGGGGCCTAGTGAGTCTGGTCAGTTTCAGGGACTTCCTGAAGCTATTTTGAATTGTTTGTTTCCTGTGTTAATGGGCTTCTCTGCAGAATGAAGTGTTTTAGTCACTACCTCCCAAAACATTCTGTCTTTTCACCTCCAGGTAAGCATCACATACTAGAATATCCTGTGTCTCTTTTTCCCTTTATATCCTATGTCTTAAGAAGTTGCACCTCAAGCTGGAAGGCCAACTTGGAGGGAACTGCTGCATAGCACCCATGTCCCACTGTATGTGGATTATGGAGATTCAGA